GTAATATTCGTCCAAAATTTATGTGATGTTTCTCTCTCTCTCTCTCTCTCTCTCTCTCTCTCTCTGATGTGTTCTCTCTCTCTCTTTTCTACTTCCACTTGGTTCCAAAACTAAACCCCCAACTAAAAAAATCAATCACACACACACACACACAATTGACCGATTCAGTTTTTTTTTATATCTTCAGTTTTTTTTGAATGAAGGCGAATAAAAAAAAAATGAAACAAAAAGAAATAACTTCTCACAGAATGTTGTTGTTGTTGTTTGCTTGGATCAAAAATCAATTCAAATATGAACAAAAAAAGCCAGGCATTTTATCTATTACAATATCGATTTTCAATTTCTCTCTCTCTCTCTCTTGGCCAACAACAATGATCAATCTTTTTCAAAGTTTTTTGCTTGGATCATATTAAAATCCTGTTTTCATTCGATCCATTGTATAGAACCCCATAGTATTTCCGGAATTTTCTTTCTACATTTTTTTTTCGTTATAGAAATAGATCAATGTCGTTGTCACTGATATTGATTAATTAATTTTATCAACAACAACAACACTGAACGATGAGTTTGATTTATTGAATTTTTGTTTTTCACCAACTCTCAATCGACTAAACGATGATGATGATTCATTCATTCATTTTTTAGATTCCTATATCCGGTTCTATTTTTTTAAAATTCATTTTATACTTGGGATTATCATTGTCATCATAGTCGGATGTGTTGAAATAGTCGTCACTGTTGTCACTGTTATTGGTGTTTGGATTATAATTGGATCGAATGGAAATGAATATTTATGGCTATAATATGGCAATAATGTTTGCTGCTAATATGATGATAATAACAATAATGATAAAAAATCATACGTGTAAACGAATTTAAATTGAAAAATTTATTTATCATAAAATGTTGTTGTTGACAAAATATTAGTGATGTTGTTTGATTTTTGTTGCTTTATTTCATCAGCACAGCACAGAAATAAACATTCAACCAATCCGAAAATACAAACCTAAATGATAATTTATTATAGTCAATAACATTGGATTTCAGTGTTTTGTGTGTCGATGTATTTAAGCTATATGGTTGTTGTTGAAGTGTGTGTGTGTATGTTATCTGAGATTTTCAAATATTTTTTTCTTCTTCTTCTTTTTCCTAGCATCATGTTTGGTTATATAATAAATGTTTTTAAGCATAAATTATCATACTTGGCTGACCTTTGACTTTCTCTCTCTGAACTGAACTTTTACTTATTTTCATTTCCTAAACGGATGATAGGAAAATCAAATGCTCATCATTTCAAATGTTACAACAACAACAACAATAACAATAACGAAAAAAGGCCCATAGACAGATGGTTTATTTTTTTTTTGACAATAAATAATTTTCTGGATCATCATCGTCATCAACGTCATCATTCGTATGAATCCAGAACCGTGAGAAGATTCCAGCGACAACAACAACATCAGAAAAAAAAATCTTCTCTTTTTGTTAAATTATTCTGTTTTAAATCCCAATTTTTATTGTTGTTGTTGGTGGTTTTATATCAATAATGATAATGATGATTGTTGGTTTCACATTTTTCATCGACTTATTAAATCGATATTTGTTGTTGTTTTTGTTATCGTTGATGATGATGATCCGATTAATAATTTTTGATTACCAGGAAAAAAAATATTCAATGAGATAATGTAAATGATCCATGTAAATAATGTGGCTTTTACGTAGGATTGAATCTTGTCGATTGTTAATTATATATTCATTCATATCAACGATGAATATTGAATACTTTGCAAGAATACTTTGTATGTATCACGCAATCTAGCTAATTTGAATTCAAAAAATTCTGGATTGTCGTCCAACCGTTCGACCGAACGACCGACCGACCAACCGATTCAACTAGCCAAACCCAAATAGATTGGGTGTCCACCACCACCACCACCACCGCCAACTCATTTGGGTTTTTTTTTCTGGTTGACACGTGTCAGTTTTGTAGTCAATTTTGGTTGTCGATGATGATGATTAAATTATTTATATTTATATGCTCGAATGACAACCGTTAACATGTGTGTGTGTGTGTGTGTGTGTGTGTGTGATGTATATTTAAATCCAACATACATACACACGCCAATTTATTTACACCGGTTGTTTTTTTTGGGGGGGGTTATTAATCTTTTCTGGTTTTTTGGGGTTTTTCTGGTTGAAAAAAAATTGATATTAAAATACCCCTTAATTAGGTTGCGATCAAATGGAAAGGAGGCGGAATTGAATTATCCGATTTTGTTTCGTTTTTACTTTTATTCATTTGCTGTCATTTGCTGCAAATAAAACATTTTTATTATCAATCAATCAATCGATCGATCGATTTGTCATCAACAACTGAAAGTTTCAAATCAATTTGAATGTGGTCTATATTTTTGAATGCGGTGAAAATGTTGATTCAGTCGAGTAGTTAATCTTATTTTTAACAACAATTAAATTCAGTCAATTCTCAATAGATTTTGAATTACATTTTATTTCAATTCGATTCAAAACAAGAAAAACTGAAGAAATTTGAAACGATCATTTCAAAACAAAGGATAACAAATGATTTTTTTTTTTTGTTGAAAAATTCAATCCACTTACAGGTTTTACTAATTTGAATTTATTGAATGAACAAACGAAAAACGAAAAAAAAAAATGAAATTAAGAAATGGTCTAAATGAACTAATTTTGGCAAACAAAAAAAAAACAGAGAATATCATATATGTACATTTTGTTCAAAATCATCCAAGTTTTTTTGAAAATGATTTTTTGGTCTGAACTGAATTAATTATTCCAGAATAAACTTGCTGATCCCCATGCTGCAGCTGCTGCTGCATGTTGTGACATTAATTGTTGATGATGATGATGATGATGATTTGATGTTGCTGGCGTTCCTGAATGATGTGGATGTGGATGTTGTTGATGTTGATGACCATAACTAGCTGCAACAGCAGCCATTGCAGCAGCACTCATCATATTAAATGTTGATGGTGGTGGTAAATGTCCATTATTCGATATTGTTGATGTTGGTGTTGTTGATGTTGTTGATGATGATATTGATGTTGTTGTTGTTGATGTTCCATATTGTACAGCTGCCATCAATGGATTTGTTGTTCCTGTAGAATTTGTTGTTGTTGATCCATTTGTCATAAGTAAATCTTTACCAGAACCATGATGATGATGCTGATGATGAGAATGATGATCACCACCAGCACCACCACCCGTAGCCATTATTGATTTAGATTCAGCTTGTCCAGCACGAATTAATCCTGAAAGTGATATACGTTTTGATGATGATGATGATGACGTTCCACCAATATGATGTGATGATAAATGTGATGGTGGTTGCTGTTGTTGTTGTTGCGTGGTTGAAATTATCGATGTTTGTTGTTGTTGTTGTTGTTGATCATGATGTGAATGATGATGATGTGAATGTTCCATTGTTTTTTCCTGTGTTGCACGTTTTGTTTTATAACGATGATTCTATGATTTTTGGAAAATGGAAAATGTCGATATTTTTAAAAAAATTGACTTAATCATTTCTGTAGAAAGATGTTTGCAAAAACGAAAAGAAAACATACCTGAAACCAAATTTTTACCTGCGTAGGTGTTAATCGAATAATATTGGCTAAATGTTCACGTTCCGGAGCGGAAAGATAACGTTGTTGTCGAAATCTTCTTTCTAATTCAAATGTTTGTGCTTTACTAAATAATACACGTCGTTTACGTTTTTTTTGTGTAACATTTCCAACCATGTCCATTTGGCCATGATGATGATGATGATGATAATCAGATGATTTATTTGATGAATCACCATTCCTTATTAGATCACTACCAACATCATCATCATCAATCATATCATCATTACTATCAGTAACACTTAAATTTTCATCCGAATTATATGGACTTTGATTATTACTTGTTCGATTTGTATTGGTTGGTGAAAATAATGATGATGATCCAGTTGATTGACGATGATTATTATTAATGGTAAATTTTCCATGATTATGATTATAATTTGCAGCTAAATTTTTATATGATGCTGTTAATTCTGTATCCTGACCTGTTTCAATAAATGCATTATTCGGATTACCAATAGGATTTTGATGATTATTATTATCTAATAAATGTAAACCAATCAATGATGAACCATCCATTAATGAATGATGATTTAAATAATTTGGTAATGCTGAACCTTTTTTGTTTAGTTTACAGGTAAAAAAAAGACAAATTTGATTTGATTATTTGATTTGAAAAATCAATGAAATCAATGGAAAAACTTAAACAAACACATACCTAATGCAGATGAATATTGACCAAATGCTGATGGATTTAGAAATATATTTGTTTCTTGATTTGAATGATTAGTAGCTGCAAAATAACGACTATATGCTGCATATTGTTGATTATTATTATTATTATTTGTTGTTGTCGATGATGATGATCCATGATCAATTGGATTCGAGTTATAATAAAATGATGAATTTGTATTTGAAAAATTATTCGGATGATGATGATTTGGACCATTATTCGATTCGGTATTAATTGTCGCTGTTGATGATGATAATGGTGATAATGATGATGATGTGGATGATGTTGTTGTTGTTGATTGCACTAAATGTATTTTTGATTGTTGTTCACCAGGTGATATTGTTGTTGTTGATGTTGATGTTGTTGTTGTTGATGCTGTTGTCGAAGATTCATTAACACCATCGCCGCCTCCGCTATCACTGTTAAATTTATTAGAAGATTTATTATTATTATTATTCGGATTTTGATTATCATTTTTATTAGTTATTTTAAAATTAGATGATGATGATGTGGATGTTGATGATGATAATAATGATATTGATGATGATGGACGTGATTGTTGATCTTTGTCCTCATCATCATCATTTTGACCATCATTATTCTGATCATCATTATTATGATTATCATCATCAATTTTCGAACCAAGAATATCTAAAACACTGAAACCAGTTTTTGTCGATGTTTTTGTTGTTGTTGTTGATTTTTGTTTTGGACTAGTTTTCATTTGTTTAATTCTGTTTGATTTGTTTGTACTTGTTTGTTTATGTAAATTAGATTCTTTTGTATTATTTGGTGATGTTGAAGGACTTGTTGTTATCGGTGTTTTTGATCTTGATCCTGATGATATATTTTGTTTTCTCAGTAAATGATGATGATTATCATAAGATTCGGGTAATAATTTCAACATTGTTGATGGTGTTGATGTTAGTTTATTTTGATGATTATGATTATTAAGAATATTTTTAGCCAATATTGAATTTACAAATGGTGCCATAAATGCTGCCATTGATGATTGTTGTAAATTAGGATTTGTTATTGGTCCATTGATTAACATTGATGATGATGAAATCGGATTCGATTTAGAATCCAGAATTCCATTTGTCTTCAAAAGTAATTCTTGTTGATGTTGTTGTTGTGCTAAATAGAATGCCTGAATTTCTTTTTGTGCGGCCAACATGATTAATTGTTGTTGTTGTTGTGGTGTTAATGGATGTGTTGTGGATGATAATGGCAATGGTAATTGCGATGTAATTGTCGCTGCTGCTGATGATAATGGTGTTGGTAATGATTTCTTTGAATCATTGTTTTCATTCATCGTTGATGATGATAATTCTTTTTGTTGTTTTTTACCAATTTGTTCCATTTTTCTTTGTTGTTGTAATGTTAATGTTGTGGATGGTGATATTGATGGTGGTGATGATGATATCGATGATGGTGATGATGGTGATTGTGATGATTCTCGTTTATTATTATTAACAGTAGTATTCTGAATCATTATGTTCGTCTTGTTTGCTTGTTTGGTGACAAACAAACAAATGACAATGGATCTAAGAGAGTAGCAGTGTTTAGATACGACTAATATTTGGTTAATAATAAGAATTTTTTCTCAAAATATCCAAAATAGTTTTTTTTTTGCTAAATTGGATAATCTTCAGGATGATGATGATGATGATTATGTACTTGAAATTACAGCTGTCCGGATCTCTTGTTGACGATAATCAACGACTTATTACACAAAAGAGAAAAAATATATGACAGAAGCTTGATGAGATGTACTATTTGACAATTTATGAAAGAAAAATAACAAAAATCTATTTTAATCTTTTTTCTTCTGTCGCATGTTATAAATCGTTGATGATGATGATGATGGTTGTTTGTGGTTGTTTGCAGAAAAAATTGCAATCAAAAAATTTCTTTTTAACTAATTGGATGATGATGGCTTAATCCGATTGGATTTTATTTTCAAAATTTGTCAATGACACTTGTATTTGAATGATGATGAGTGGTGATTATAAGTGGTGATGGTATTTCTGGAGCTCAATAGACTTGATTCTTTATAAAGAAAAAGCAGGTAGGTAGGTAGGTATTATACTTGATTTTCGATTGGTTTAGTACACATCTCCATAGATTGATTGATTGAAAAAAAATATTTTTCAATAAGGTTGATTTCCTTTTTGGCCTTCAACTTGTCGTTTTTTTTGTCAATGATAATGATAATCCTTTATTGAAAACTTTGGATTTTGATTGTAAAATGTTGAAATATCAGGGATTTTCTTTTGGAATAAAATCTTGCTTGCTTGTCGTCGCCGTCGTCGCTGTTATTGATGTAAATCTTCAAATATCAATTGAATTTCGTTTTTACCAATTGATAATTTTCATTTGAAATTGAAAATTTCAATGATCAAACAAACAAACAAACAACCAGCAAACACACACTTATTATGAACAAGTTAAAGAAAAAAAAATAGGCGGCAACTTGGATTTTTTTTCAATGATAAAATTTATTACCCAAAAAAAATGGGTTGTTACTTTACTTCACTTCACTTTATAAGATGATGTATCAACAACCAACCGACCAACCAAAAGGAAAAAAAATCTTCATAACTGTAGTGGTACCTGGCTACTACTACCACCACCGAAACCAAAAGAAATCCTCTTGTAAAAATATATTCTTTATATTTTTATTTTTCGGGATAATGATTGAGATTGGCGCTGGCGCACTTCAAAATGATAATAAACAACAACATCAACAACAAGGGATGATAGTTGAAAATGAATGAAAATTTGTTATTCAATTCGAGAGAGAGAAGAGAAGTAGTTTTATGTGTGTGTCCACACACACACACTTCAATCTATGTGGACACACAAAATCCCAATATTGAAAGCATTGAAAGTTTGAACAAGCAAATCAACAACAACGATGAAAAAAAAGGTTGAAACCTTATAACCAAAAAGTAGGTTGGACTATCTATTTTTTCCTATTTTTCCATTGACGAATGGTTTATTTTTGGTATGGCGTTTTTTATGTTTGTGTGTGTGTATAAGTGTGGTATACTAAGAAGAACCATGATGATGAAGAATATATGCGAGAAAAAAAAACCATAAGAGCACTCTCAAATCGAGAAATGCTCTAGTTTCCTTCTCTCTCTATTTCCATTGTCAATCCACTTTTCTTTCGAATAGGGTTGTTCATCGGGGCTTTTTTTTCATCTTCTTCTTTTGCCATTCAAATGAATGAATGAATGAATGGCGAAAAAAAAATCTTCAAGACAAGAGATAGAGACCAGTTGTATAGGAGCTTAAAGTGAAAACGATATGATTTTTTTTTGTTTGTTTGCTGTATTTTGTTTGGAGTATGCGGTGTAAGAGTTTTTTTTTGTGAATCCAATTCAATATTGTATAGTCAAGTTACGAAAAAAAAAATCAACAGCAAGCAATCCAATGGAATTGAAGAACCCACCTCTTTTGAAGAAAAAAAAAAACATTTTCAAAAATGCTTTCGGTTTTTCACTTCTTCTTTTGGCGTTGCGCATACTTCAAAAACGAAAAATTTCTTGGGCCCAGAGCTTCACTTTGGTTTTTTTTCATATGGATCGGGTGTTACTAACCACACATACAATCCATCCACAAAAAAAAGAGGTGATGAAGAGAGAGAGAGAGAGGGGGGAAAAACCACCAGAAAAATGCATCCACTTCTTTCTTGTTATTCTGGATTCTTCAAGTTTCATAAGTTATATCAACAACAACAACAACAACGGGGGAAAAAACTTTTAAACTGATAAACGTGCGCGCACATCCCAAAAAAATTACCCGATTATCATCATAGTGTTAACAGCAAAAAGTTGTTAGTTTTTTCAATGATGGACATTCATTCATCTACCATCCACTATTCACATATATAACACAAAGTCAACAAACCTCTCTCAACATTGCAAAAAAAAGAAAAAGGCGAGAGAGAAAAATTAATTTTTCCGCTCTCTCTAGGGTTCTATAGATTCAAAAACCCTAGACTAGAAAAAAAGAGGCTTGAGCATCATACACACAGTGGAGCAAAAGAAATACAAATCTTTTTTCCCCTCTGATCCAGAAATGAAATAATGAATAACCAACTAAACAGTTTCACTAACCAAACCAGCATAATCATATATGATGTATATGATGATTAACACCTCAATGTTTTCATTTCATACATATCATTTGTTTTTGTTCCATGATACGAATCATTAATCACACATACATACCATACATACATTTAATAAAAGCTTTTCAACATGGAACCGAATAGAAACAAAACTAACAAAACGTTGATTATGATGATGATGATGACAATAATGATTCTGTTCATCATAACCGGAGGATTAACCGTTGTTTTTTTTCCTGATTTTAGCTTTTTTTTGTTCTTGCCCACCAAACAAATACATAGTAAGCCAAAATTTTCTCGTTGGCTATTGTCATCAAAATTTTGGCTTTTGTTGTTGTTTGTTCGTTTGTTTGTAATAAATGAATTAAGCAAGGCAAAAATTTTCATTCATTTTGAAACGTTTTTGTTTTGTTTGACAATCTATAGACTAGGCTCTATTGATCGATTTAATCGATAATAATAATATTCAATCATGAACACAAGGGTCTTTAGTTTCCAAAAAATCATTTTGTTGTTGTTGTTGTTGTTGACTTGATGATCTTGATTGATCATCATCATAATCATCATCATATGATTTTCGGAAGCTGATCATGAATTTTTCATTCCTCTATTTCATTACATCGAGTAAAGTTTGTTTCAATGGCCTCATTTCTTTTAGCTTTTGGAACATGATTTCTTGATCAAATCTTCTTAATTCCCACTTTTACTTGAAATTTCTTCAGTTTGAAGCACACCTTTTGTCAAAAAAAAAATTTCTTCAATAAGATTTTAATCATAATTTATGATTTTGAAAAAATTTGAAAGAAAAGTTTCGTTTCTCAACAAGCAATACTTTAAAATTACAATGATTATTTATAGGTAATTGAATTTTTAAATTTACAAAAATTTTAACACACCTTGGCCTCAATGACAAACATCTGATCTGAATCTCTTTCCAAACAAAATGAAACTTTGAATCCAGCACATTTGGTGATTATGGTGTTGTGATGGTCATCTACTTTTGCTTTTGCACACACACACACGACATTTTAACACTTTATTGAAAACAACCGAATTGTAAATAACACTTTCCTCCCCCCTCCAAAAAAAAAAATCCAATAATCATCTTTTTTTCATTGTTTCCTTTATCAAATTACAAACAAACAAACAAACACATTTGTGTGTTTGCGTTTGTTTTTCGGATTATAATTAATTTCCATTTGGGTCAATTTGTGTGTGTGTTCAACACACACACACACACATACAGTATGTGGTTGATAATGGTTTTGTTTTGTTTTGTTTCTAGGTGAATGACTTGATTTCTTCGTCCCAAAAACCATCATCATCATCATCATCATAAAATCCACAAGAATATAGAGAGTGTTAAAAACAACAACAGTAACATCCAAAATGTAATCATTAACCAAAACAACACTATGTTGGTTGATCGGTGTTAAACGAAAGGAAAAATAAACGGAAACGTGCCGAGTGTATATATCAAATACGATAACTTTTTTTTTTGTTTCAACGTTGGTCTCTTCATTCAATTTCTGTGGATTCTATGATGATGATGACGATGAGAATCGGTTTTTATTGTTTTAGTCATTTAGTACAGTTAGTTTAGTTAGTTAGTTGTAAAACATCATCAACAACTAACTATTAGGAAACAAAAACAATAAACCTACTAAATATAGCCATCAACATCATCTAGATTCTGGATTCTGGATTCTGTAACTAAACAGTAAAACTAAACTATTCAACCATAATCATGCCAAACACTCATTGCACACACACACACACACATTGTTTTAACACTTGTTTTTCATCCCCTTTTTTCACAGTTCTTTTCCACATCCGATTCAAGGGAAAAATTTGTTAGTGTTTGGTTTTAGTTTAATAACCGCAACCAAATCTATTGTTTTTTTCTTCATAAATTTAATCTATTGATGCGGAAATATGTGTGGTGTGTGTGTGTGTGTGTGTTTAGATAGTTCCTGAAACATGGTAAACTTTTTTTTTGTTGAAATTCATTCAATGATGATGATGATGATAATGTTTTTTTGATTTCAAAGTTTTCTGTCTATTTTACCAGCTAATAATCAGCATTGTTTTTAGATTTTTTTTTTTTGAAATTATGTAAATGATTTTTCGGTTAATGAGAGTTAAAACCGACTGGACCCGCCAGAAAGAAAAGAGTTTGTTTCAGTTTGGTTGAAAATT